TCAACATCATCGGGACACCATTATCATCAGCAGCATCATCATCACCAACATCATCATCAATATCATCATCGGCACACCATCACCATCACCATCATCATCGTCACCGTCATAATCATCATCATCATCGGGAGACCATAATCATCAGCAGCACCATCATTACCAACATCATCATCAACAACAACGGGCAGAAACATCATCACCATCGTCATTCATCATCATCATCAACATCAACATAATCATCATCACCAGGACACCATCATCGTCATCATCATCACCATCAACATAACCATCATGATCATCATCAACAACATCATTCTCGGGACACCGACGGGACACCGACGGGACACCGGCGGGACACCGCGGGCCCCCGGCCGCCCGGAAGGGAGTCATGGTCCGGCAACGCCTCAGCCACACGGGACACCAGCGGGACACCGGCGGGACACCGCGGGCCCTCGGCCGCCCGGAAGGGAGACATTTGGTCCGGCCGCGCCTCAGCCACAGGAGACTTTCTTTCGCCCGCCCACGCAGCTTCGCCTCGCCCGCACGGCACGCACGAACACGAAACCGAAATCGATTTCCCGGTAGAGGGGGCTCTCCGTTCCACTTCGATCTCACCCCCCAACCTCCGATTTTGGCGGCGAACAAGAGGGCCGACGTGGGCAAAAGGATTCCAGGTTAGGGGTCTTCTATTTGGCGGAGCGCAGCACTGACGTCGGCCTGGATTCTACTCGTCGGTTCGACTCGCGCTCGCCCCTCGCCGCCGATAGCGTTCGAGGTCGAAAGCGCGACCCAGCTGGGTCGCGCGTCAGTCTAGGGGTCTACAAGCTTCATCTGATCCCCTCCTGCCTAGGAGCCCACCTGCGGTGGCGGCCAGTCCCACCCGCAAGCCACCCTACCATAAAGATCATCTCTCCCCTCGTTGTAAGTACAACGAATGGGAACTCTTGGGAGCGCCTGGGAGCGCCTGGGGGCGTTGGGAGCGCTTGAGAGCGCCTGGAACGCCTGGAAGCGCCTGGGAGCGCTTGGGGGCGCCTGGGAGCGCTTGGGAGAGCCTGGAGCGCTTGGGAGCGCTTGGGAGCGTTGTGAGCGCCTGAAACATCATGGAAGTCATATTGTCGAACACAGGATTCTGCGACAGCGGCGCACTTGGTAAGGAAAGTCTCATAGGTGTACGGAGGCATGCTCAGGACATACTATTTTTTGAAAGTGATGGCGAGGGTGTACGTCCGCGGACGCGCATTTGAAGTGTACATCGCAATGAATTATGCACGCACGATCAGGAAATATTTGTTGCAAAGGATGGCGAGGATTTGCGTCCGCGGACGCGCATTTGTAGCGTAACTCGCAATGGATTCTGCACGCATGTTCAGGACATAGTACTTTTGCAAGGGATGGTGTCGGTTTACACGCCGGGGCGTATGTAGCCTTATGTAAGCGTATGTGCCCGTATGTAAGCGTATGTGCCCGGTTTTTATGTGTTCAGGGTTTAATAATTATAGGACTAAGAATTGAGGGCCTGCATTGGAGAAAGCGCGCGCTGGCTGCAATCCACCCCTCACCAAGAGTGTTTGGGGGGATCGCTGCGGTGGCCGAGCGCGCTCCGAACTTTGCACTCCCGCCCCAGACCACCCACAGTAAAGCCTTTTAGGGCTCAGGGCTTCTACCCTCCAGCCCCCCTTATCAAGGGGGGCTGTCGTGTCTGGCGCGCAAGCGAACATGCCGTTGCGAGCAGGCCGCAGCGGCCTGGGTAGTTCGCGCGCGTCTGAGCACGCACGCGATGCGCTCTGCGCAGGCACGCGAGCTCGCCATCCCGAGTTGCTCGTCGCGGCCTTCGGCTTTGAGTTGCGCCGCGGGGCTGCCGCAGGCTCAAAAGTCAACGGGGGCGCAACATTCCGAGGCTGACGGCGATGCGTGCGGTTGTAACATTCGCTCTCGCCGTTGGGCTTTGCCGTTGGTGTCGCCCCCGCTGAAGCGGTCACATTATTGACGCAGCCGCTACATCGATGAAGCGGCGCGAACATCGCATGGCTGGAGGGAGAACGCGAAAGGGTGGGTCTGGCACCCTCACGGCATGCCTGCGGCAGCACCTGCGTGGCGGGGGGGCGCCTGGGAGCGCCGGCGATCGTTCGCGACCGCCTTGGAGCGCTTGTGAGCGTCCGGGAACGCTTGCGAGCGCGTGGGAGCTCCGCCGAAGAGCGCTGCGGAGTGCTTGCGGATGCCTATTGGGAGCGCCTGGGAGCGCCTGAATCCGCTTCCGAAAGCTAGGGAGCGCCCGGGCGCATTTGCGAACGCCTGGGAGCATTTGCGAGCGCTTGTGAAAACATGGGAGCGCCTGGGAGCGCTTGGGGGCGCTTGGGAGCGCCCGGGGAGCGCCGGGGGCGCCTGCAGGCGCTTGTTAGCGCCGTGGAGCGCCCCAGCGCGCCGGGGCGCGCCTGGGAGCGCCCGGCGGAGCCCAGGAGCGCCTGGGAACACGTGGGAGCGCCTGGGAGCGCCTGGGAATGGTTTGGGGCGCCTGGGAGCGCGCGGGAGCGTCTGGGAATGCCTGGGAGCGCCTGGGGCGCAGTTGGAACGCTGGGAATTAAGCCCGAGGGCGCCGCGTGCAATATTTTCATACGGTTTGCGGCCTTGGAGCCCCAGGGGGAGTAGAGGCTTGCGACGGACCCGCAGGCTGCGGCCGAGGGTTAATGGTTATTTTCATGAGTCGAACCAGTGGAGCCGCACGCGCGCGGCGTGCGAATTCCTCCTCAGCGGCTATCGCAGCTTCGTCGGTGCGGCCGCCGCACCGACGAAGCTGCGATAGCCGCTGTATGGGCAGGCTCGCCGAGCGCAGGGCCAGACGCCACGGGCTAGGGACGTTGCAGCGCCCGCGGCTTGCAGTTTAGGGTTTCTCTGCGCGCAGCGGCGCGCAGCGGCAAGCTTGACCGGGGGGCGCCGAGCTTGCCCGATCATGCTTGTCGAAGGGCGCAAGACCTGCACCATCTTCCCACCCCGGCCGCCTCTCCTAAAGCTTTTTAGGGTTTAGGAGAGACCGTCAATTTCCACGCGCGCGCTCCCAGGCGGCGCCCCCAGGAGCTTCCAGGTGCTTCCCGTGCGCCCACAGGCGTTTTGAAGCGCTCCCATGCGCGTCCAGGCGCTCCGAGGCATTCCCCCGCGCTCCCAGGCTCTCCGAAGCGTTCGCTGGCATTGTTGCACGACCAGCGGGATGAGCGCCTCAGCGACCCGCGAACGTTACAGTGTGACATAGGGGCCCCCTCCTCATGAACATGTGAGTGTGGGTCCTCAAACGAGTGTTCAATCGAGCCTGGGGCTGGAGGCCGTTGAGAGGGGATCATCTCTTGGTTTGTCACTGTCCCGATTTCTTCAGCTTGGGGTAGTGTTCCCGGTGGTCAGTAGTCCTTTTTCTTTTGGGGCCTAACAGACGGGGATCAGTGCAAATGGGGGTCAGCCAGGGCGCTGGATCCTGCAGGATCCTGCGAAGACCCCAATCTGGCTGACCCGGGTTAGCGAGCCGCTCGTGGCCGCGAGGCGGCCGCGCATATTGGTTGACCTGGGTTTGCGACGACCTGCGATGTTTTTTCCTGCATTGCAGTTTTTTTGGTTTCCTGCTGATCCGGGTCTGGATTGACCCGGGTCAGAGGATCCCCGATCCTCTTCCGCATTCGTAACTAAGTCAGGGTTTGAGGCAAATCCTCGGTTCGGGCGGTGCTGCACGGTTTGAGGGTGGTTCCCATGCGGCCTTGGGAGCCTTTCGGGTTGCGCTTGCGCGGCGTTTTGGGAGAAACAGGGGCCGCTCTTGCGATAAAGGATCCGTCCTTGGGTGAAGGGTGTTTCGTTCTTTGTCATCAAGTCCCCTTGGGCCCTGAATTCAGAATTCGACCTCCTGCGTCGGGCGGGTGGAAATGGGCGGTGACACCAATTAGGGGTGGAGAAATGGCCCAAAAGGGCTTTCTTAGGGCCCCCTTTGGCGCCAGCAGGGGCCCAAGAGGGGCCCGAAAGGGTCCCTTTAGGGCCCTTCGCTTCACCCCCACTTGGGACACTCCTCATTGGCACCCGCCTGACTGCGGTCCAAGGTCCTGCATCAAGAGATAAATTGAAGTCGGGCGCGTCCCTCTATACAGGAAGAATGCTTGAGAATTATTATCAAACATAGTCGGGGGGCGACTTTTCGCACATTTTTGTGCCAATTCCCTTGCGGATTCATATGGTTAGGTGATGTTCGTCGCCGACTGCCCGGGTGCCCGGGTGCCCGGGGGCGGGGGGGTGCCCGGGTGCCCGGGGGTGCCCCGGGTTGCTCAGGGGGTCCTGGAGGTGCCAGGGGGTGCCTGGGTGCCCAGGTGCTCTATCGCCCTTCTATATCCCTATAGCCTATAGCCCTATAGCCCTAAACCCAATAGCCCTAAAAAGCCCAATAGCCCTACAACCCGGTACCCCTATAGCCCTATAGCCCCATAGTTCTAACCTTATAGCCTATTCATGTAGCCCTAACCCTATAACCCTAAAACTATTATGATTGCGATTTGTCTCTGGTGTCATTTGGCTGTTTTTCTTTTTTCATCCCAAATCCGCCTGTAGGAGGACATGCCCGACCTAAATATAGATTGCACGAGGAGGATGAAAATGAGGAGGAGGAGGAGGAGGAGGAGGAGGAGGAGGAGGAGGAGGAGGAGGGGCGACGAGGACGAAAAGGAAGCGGAGGGGGAGGATGAGGAAGAGGAGGAGGAGGAGGAGGAGGAGGAGGAGGACGACGACCACGAGGACAACAAGGACGAGGGGGGTGAGGAAAGATGAAGGCGAGGGAGGAGAAGACGAGGGCGTCGACGCAGGGGGACGAGGGTGCGGAGCAGCGGCGGCGCAGCCCCTCCGCCCAGCATGCGGGCACTGGCGCTCCTCCTCCTCCTCCTCCATGCGGGCACTGGCGCTCCTCCTCCTCCTCCTCCTCCTCCTCTACGAGGAGGAGGAGGAGGCGTCTGAGCCCAGAGGGAACCTTCGGCCCTTGAGAGGCATGCGTGGGCAGATTGAGGAGGACATGGTGGGGATGGCCGACGCCATGAAGTCCGTGGCTGAAGGGTTCGGCGCGACCCTGAGGGAAGACAACAGGCGCCTTCAGGCGGCCTCTGCCCAAGGGGTGGGGGGGGCGGCGGCGGAGAAGACGCCGGGTTTCTCCTCCGTACCCTCGCTTCTGCGCACACCTTCTGCCTTTCCCATGTTGCTAAAGACGTGGCCTCGAAGCAAGATATGGGCCTTCTTTCAGCATGTCCCAGCAATTCAAGGGAGCCGCACTAGCCGAACTGCCCAACGTTTGCTCCACTCTCCCCCCCTTCCGCCAGAAGCTGCGGAGCCACCACCCCCGTGGCTGAAGCAAGTGAGCTGTTGAGTGCCGTGAGACATTCGAGTAGGGGATCGACTACATAACTGATGTACCTCAGCATGGTTTGCCCGTCGGATCTACGAACACGTACGTATAATTCCCCGCAGATCTACGACCATTCCACGCGCGTCGTGTATGTCCGGCGGAAGGTCAATGTTGGAGCACATCAAGTCTGAAATTGATCCCATATTCGAGACATCGACCTCAGCGGTACTCTCGCTGCTCCTCCTCCTCCTCCTCCTCCTCCTCCTCCTCCTCCTCCTCCTCCTCCTCCTCCTCCTCCTCCTCCTCCTCCCCCTCCTCCCCCTTCTCCCCCTCCTCCCCCTCCTCCTCCTCCTCCTCCGTCCATGGGCCCTGCGCGTCGTGAGAGAAAGTCAGGGGGGGGTGCCCCTCGTGGGGCGTCTTGGGGTCCCCCTGGGCGCCGCCTGGGCAGTCCGGGGGGCGCTGTCGGGAACTTCTTTGGCCGCCTTGAAGCGTTCAATCGGGGGTGGACAGACCTCCTACCCTGACACGTCGATTAGTGAATTGTCCGTTTTCGGTTCTCGAGAGGGCGCCGCGGCCGTTCTTTTCCAGGCTTGCGCGCGCCAGGTCTGGGCCCGAGGTCGTTTTTACTAAACCACGTTTTGCTAAAGCGAGGTCTGTCCATCCCCGATTCAAGCTGAAAAAGGCGAGACGCTGAAATTGTGCAACCGTTCTTCGGAAGATCGGTGAAACTGGGCCTCTCAGGACCCTCTTGGGGATGGCCTTGAGGCCCCCATCAGAGCTTCTTGGGGGGTTGCTCTTCACGATCTCCAGGTCTCCATTGGGGGGCCCCCATTGTAGCCTGTCGGGTGTGCTCTTCACGCTCTCCGGGCCTCCATGGGGGGTCCCCTTCTCGGCTTCCCCCCCCCCCGCCCCCCGCGGCTGACGCGAGAGAGACTGCTCCCAGGGCATGGGGGATCCGACGGCCGCGGGGGCCACGTGGCGCGTCCCAGAAGAGTCGGACAGGGGACCGACGACAGAAGTGATTTACAGTGGGGGCGCGCATCCCTCTCCCCCCCCTCTTCCTTCTCCTCTTCCTCCTCCTCCTCCTCCTCCTCCTCCTCCTCCTCCCCCTCCTCCTCCTCCTCCTCCTCCTCCTCCTCCTCGAAGAAGAAGAAGAAGAAGGAGAAGAAGATCAGAGGAGGGAGAGATCCCGATACCGCTACAGTGGGGGCGCGCACCAAGAAACCATGTGCTTTTCGTCAGGGTATTCTGGCCTTCTTCGCTCCGCGAGCTGCGCGGTGGCTTCCCGCAGCCGTTGAAGAGGCTGCTGCGTTCAGGGTGCTTTGGCTTTCCCCTCGGGTGCACCTCGCGCGCGGGCTTTCAGGGTTGGATTTCTTGCGAGGGTTTCTTGCGGCCGCGCCCGCACCGTACCACAAAGTCTGGTCATCGTCGAAGTTGCGGAACAGACGTGTATTGCTCGTAGATCTACGGGACCTTCGACGTATTGTTCCTTAGATTCGCCGAGCACCTCAATTCTAGGGTAAGTCGATTCTGTAGCCGAGCCCCTGCTCGACAGAGGCCCGCGGAGGCAAAGCCAGGGGCGGCTGCGCCGGCGGGGGGCCGGCGGGAGGTGGCGGAAGTACGAGTACGGTCGGGAGCGTTTGGACAGCGCGTCGCTTCGCCAGTTTTAAGTCGGGCCCGTCCCTCCACAGAAGGAATGTTCAAAGGTGGTCAAAACATAGTCTGGGGCCTATTTTTTGAGTATTTCGTTTCACCATTTTGGGGCCTTCTTGGGGTACTGTTCATTTTTCGTCGAAGATCCCCCTGGAGGGGGACACGCCCGACTTAACGCCAGTTCTGGCCCGCCACGCCGCAGAGCGAGGCGGTCTCCACGCCGTGGTCCCCGAGCGTCGACGGCCCGAGCCTCCTCCCAGCTTCCCGCCCCGCGGAGCGGAGCGACACGCTTTTCCGCTCGCAGGACATGGGATTAAGTCGGGCCCGTCCATCTACAGGAGGAACATTCAAAAATAGTCAAGAGCTAGTCGGGGGACGATTTTTTTTTACTATTGTTGCCCATTTGGCGGGTATTCTTCGAGCATTGTTTATGTTTCTCGGCCGAAATCCCCCCGTAGGGGGACAGGCCCGACCTAAACTTAGGACATCGCGTGTCGCAGGGGCCGCCGCGGCGACACGCTAAGCAAGGGCTCCTGGCCGTAAGGCGTGAGCACTTTGTGGGCTCCGGGCTTCGCAGTCGCCCACGTGGCGACACAGTGGCGGCGTCGGTGGTCCCGTGGTCTAGGCCTCCCAGATGGGGTCGGAGTAGACGGGGTCGGAGGATCGCGCCGCATCGCCGATGCATCGCCGATGCGGCTCGATGTGGAGCCCGTTTTCCTGCACGTCGGCGTGGGCGATGCATCGCCCACGTCGACGATGCATTGCCCGTGCATCGGCGATGCATCGGCGATGCATCGCCGATGTATCGCCGATGTATCGGCGATGCGGCGCGATCCCCCGACCCCATCTACTCCGACCCCATCTGGGAGGCCTCTGTGTGAGGTGGGATGCCGGAGAAGACGCAGGCTGGTGGGGAGAGGGGTCCCCCTCCTCATTCTCATCGTTCGCCCTCCTCTTCTTCCTCCCTCCCTTTTCTACTACTAATCGCGACTCTGATGATGATGCTGATGATGATGAGGATGATGATGATGATGATGATGATGATGATGATGATGATGATGAGGATGATCTATATATACCTCCCATCTATGCCTCGATCTTGTTTACCGGGTGCACATGTGTGGGGTTGCGGGGGATTGCAAGGTTGTGCGGAAGCGTCGACAGGTGCTGGTCAGGGGATGGTTTGAATCGAAATGGCTGAGGCTTATACTTAATATAGTTGCATCTGCATGCAGTTTTTGTTATTTACAACTTGTAATCACGTGCGTACATGTGTTCTGTTCACGTTGGTTGTTTTGCTGCTTTCATGCGTTCGCGTCATGTGCGTGCTTCTTCCAGTTTGGTGTTGGTTCTGGAGGTGTTCGTTGTGTTACCGAATCTGCATGTAGTTTTAAAGCATCTGGGATGTTATGAGACCCGGTTGCTTTCCTCTTATTGTCACCTCCGCAATGGTTCGATGTCGGTGGCGTGTCTACTTAGTGTCATGCATTCTCTTTGCACGTTCCTTCAGTCCCCGAGCAGTGCCCGCACTTAGCGGTGCTTGCCCAGGGCACCTCAGGAATCGGCGGGTGCCCCGTGGGCGCCTCGTGCTGGCTGGCTGCGCCGCGGTTTCGCCTTGGTGCCCGCCCGTGACCGCCCCGTGGGCGCCTCGTGGGCGCCTCGTGAGCTGGGCCGGCGGGCACGAGGCTCTGCCTCGTGCCCGCCCGTGGCCGCAGGCCCGTGGCCGCCTCGTGGCTGGCTCCTCGCCCGCTGCCGCCTCCGCTCCCCCGCCGCCTCGCTGGCCCGCCGCCCCGGCCCGCTGCGCCGCCCGCCGCCCCGGCCCCCGCGGGCGCGGCTCCGCTGCCTCGCTCGCCGCCCCGGCTCCGCCTGGCCCGGCTGCTGCCCTGCCACCGCCCCGTGTGGGGCCCACTGCTCGGCGCGCGCGCGGCGCCGGCGCGCGCGTTTGCGCCACTGGGGCGTCTCCTGGCCGCGACGGCCGAAGCAAGTGTGTGTGTGTGTGTGTGTGTGTGTGTGTTTGTGTGTGTGTGTGTGCGTGCCGAGCGCAAGGAGCACTTCCATCTGCTGCCAGCGCGCGAGAGGACTCTCTGCGCTGCCGACTGAAAAAGAAAAGTGTGTGTGTGTGGGCGCCGAGGTTTGGCCCGTGAGCTCCTCGGGGGCGCGTCGTGCGCCCGGTGGCCGCGCAGGTGCCCCTCACAGGCTCCTCTCGGGGGAACGGTCTCGACCGCCCTCCCGTGCCCAGAGTTCGTCGTACCCGTAGGGGGTAATAGTCATGTCCACGTCCAGTGCGTCTTGGAGTCTTGGGCTCTCTTCCCCAGAAACCGTAGACGCACTGGACATGGATAAAAATCTGGCCCCAAGAGGCTTGATTTTATCCATATCCAGTGCGCCTCGGCGTTGCGCCACCTCTTCCCGAAAGTCCAAGACGCTCTGGATATGGATATAAGTACTGCCCGCACCCGTAGGGATAACACAACTGACGTGCGATCCTGGCACATGGTTGATTTCCCGTGCGAGTGCAACAGCATCGCAACCAACCCGACATCGACACCCCCCAATGATCCCTTGCCAGAGTACCACAAAGTCCACACGCCGCGCACATGTTGAAGTCGTACCGCACACATTCGTTTCGCAAGCAATTCAACACAACACCCATTGGTATGTCAAAACCACTCTCGCAGAAGTGCTGCCCGCGCACCTGTTGAAAACACCGGAAACTCCCGATTTAGTTCAGCAAACGCATCGAACATCCGCCTTTTCATTTCGTCACGCGGTGCGTTCGTGCTGATCAAACTCAGGATGGGAAAACACACAGACACAATTAATCGTCGACCCCCAGGAAAATATAGGAAAATATGGGAAGTGGGGGGGAAGACAACAACCCAGAAAGTATAGGGAAACATGGGGAATCCGATTATTTGTAAGTATTTATTTGCGTGTCCCAGGGCCCCTTCACAAACATGCGCAGTGCGCACCAACGAATATCAAATAAGACCATGCGGGCCACGTGCGCGCGCCGCCACGCGCACGTGCTGAATTCCTTCTGAGCCATGGGTGCTGAGAGCATTTCAAGATTAGCTCTTCGACCACACAGGAAAGGCCACATTCGGGGGTGGACAGAACCCCTCAACAGTGACACGTCGATTAGTGATTTGTCCGTTTTCGGTTCTCGAGATGGCGCCGTGGCCGCTATTTTCCAGGCTTGCGCCCGCCAGGTTTGGGCCTCAGGTCGTTTTCACTAAACCACGTTTTACTAAAGAGGGGTCTGTCCATCCCCGACAGATCTCTATGATGTCTGGGCGCGCACTTCCTCATCACCCTCATCAGCTCCATCGCATCACCGCTGTGATCTTCATCGTCAGTTGTCGCCATTGCCGCCGTCATCGCAAGCACCTTCACCACCACTATACTGACATCATCGTCGGCATCGTCGTCACCAGCATCGGCGTTGTTGTTGGCCTTGGCGTCATCCTCGTCATCATCGCCACCATCATTGTCATCACCATCATCGTTGCCGCCGTTGTCGACGTCATCATGATATCGCGTCCGTCCGAGTCACGGACCCTCCCTGAAGTGCCCGCGTGCCAGAGCAGTATTCGAGACGCGTTGGGAAGCTCCCACGTGTAAACGCCATCGCGGCCGCATCAGTTGTGCCAAGCCAGCTAACCGATCTGCGCTAGAACGTGCACCCGCCAGTGCGGCGGGCGGCGAACATGCGCCAGCAATTTCCAAACGCTAACCGCCATCGTGGCCGCAGGTTTTGCCGAGCAAGATGCGGGTGGGCGGGCTGTACGTTTGCGCGAGCAGTGGGGTTGACGACCTCAAGTTCTGCTGTATTTATTGCGCCACGTCAATTGCGCTGCATCAGTTGCACGAACCAGCTTACATCACATGACTTCCACCACTTTGATTACACCGCACTGGTTGCACCACATAGCTTGCACCACACATCTTGCACCACACAGCTGGCACCACATCGGCCGCACCGCGTAGCTATGATAATTCAGCTTACGCCGAGCATGCTGTACAGCATAGCTCACACCACATAGCGTGCACCACATAGCTTTCGCCACACAGCTTGCGCCACATAGCTGGCAAAGCAGATATAGCATCGCATGCCATACACCACATAGCTTGCACCACATCGCTTACGCAAGCCTAGTGCAATCTGTCACCCTTTGGAGTCCACGCTGACAACACTTTCCATCTTTCTGGTGTGGCCTCAATTAGTATCGTGTGAGCTCCGTCCACCCCCGTTGAAGTTTTCATCTGCATGGGAGATCGACACTTGATTGTCTGCCGGCCTTCATTCTCGCCTTTCGTCGCCCCACTTGGAATCTTGAACACAGAGGACGGCCTGCTGGGCCAGGCGTCATTTCAGGCCGTGGTGCTCGCGACAGATCTGCCATGGAGCTCGGAGACCCCACGTGTTGAATGTTGTTCAGCAGTGTTGTTAATTTTTTCTACAACCGAACACAAGCTAAATGCGCCACATCCTACAGACAACCAAACGCCCAGCAGAGCCTGCATCAAGTCGCATTCATCAAGACACGACGTCACATGTCACATTGCTTGATTTTCTGTGCTGTGACTCGTCTTGCTTTGCTTTGCTTGGCTATGCCTTGCTTCGCAGCGCAGTGCAGGGCAGTGCGCTGCACTGCGTCGTGTGTGTGTCTTTTGCGCGCTTCCTCACGCGGCTTCGCTCTGAGACGCTTTCCAGCGCTTTTTTGCAGCACGGTGTGCCCATCTCTCCAAACGGTGCCTGCACGCACGGGTTCTCACTTCGATTTCTTGGGCACCTGGCCGGGCCTCGCGGCCTTTCCCCGCCTGGCCCCCCGGCGGTGCCCCTCCGCGGGTGCCCCTGTGGACGCCCTCCTCGAGCCGCGTGGGCTCCCCGAGGCCGCTCGCCAGCGCTGCCCCGGGTGCTGCCTCGGTGGGCGCCCCGGGGGTGCCTCGGTGAGCTCCGAGCTCCGCACGGCGCGGCTTCCCCCCACGCAGCTGGCGCCACACAGGGCCTGCGCCACGCAGCTTCTGCAGCACCGCGTCTGCTGTACAGCACGGCGTGCGGTTCGCAGAGCTTACACGCCCCACAGCTTCCAGCCTGCGGTCCCTTCTGAGCTTCCACGGCGCTGCTTGCACCACAGAGCTTGCGCCACGTGGCTTGAGCCACAGCTTACTCACCACTTGGCTTGCACGGCACAGCTCACACCCCGTGGCTTACACCCCGCAGCTTTTCCCTCCGTAGCTCATACCACATAGCTTGCACGACATAGCTTTCACCACATAACTTACACCGCATACGTTCCACCTCCAGTGCAATAGCGCACTCTTTGGCGTCCTTGCTGGCTAACATTGAACTGAAGGAGGAAAGGGAAGGCACGAGGGAGGAGGAAGGAGGGATATTGAGCAGGAGGCGAAGGAGAAGCAGGATGGAGAAGAGAGAAGGAGGAAGGAGGGGAGGAGGTAAGGAGGCTCCCTCCCTCCTCCTTCGCCCTCCCTGCTGACCTCCCCTCCACGCCCTCATCCTGCCCCCCCTATCGTCCCTCCCCACCTGAGGGCATGCCATGCCTTGCGCTCCGAAACTGGGGTGCGGGGGGGTTGTGCCAGAGCGGCTCCCCCTCCAAACCATGTCTCGGGGGCACCGGTGCCGGCTGGCAAGGAGATCAACAGCACCGTCGGCCAGAACTTGGACAAGGCGCCCCCAACTTCCTCCTTTCATTTTCTCCCCTCCTCCCTCTCCTGCTGCTCATCCCTTCCCACCTCGTTTTTTTCTGATCCTGCTTCTCATCGTCCTTTTGCTCGTCCTCGCAATCAGTGCACTCCTATGCTCCTCCTCCCTCCCTCCCCTCCCTGCTCTTTCTCCCTCCTCGCCCCTGGAGCGATACTCGCCCCGGGGAGGGTGTCGGGACCTCCGGGGCCGCGCTCTGAAGAACGTCAGATCCGCGGATGCCAGGGCAGCGTCGCGCTGCGGCGCTCCCCGCCCCGCGGGCGTTAGCGTTAAGTCGGGCGTGTCCCCTACAGGAGGAATATTCAAGAATAGTAAAGAAATAGTCTGGGGACGATCCTTCTATTATGTTTGACCACTTTCGTCCCGCCGCCTTTCAGGCTCAAGCGAATATTCAGTCAGGACCGAGAGGGGATCCCGCCCAGCGGCATATCCCAGTCACTTGTGTGTTTATTTGTGTGTGAACACAGTGTGCCTGGGGCCCCTTCAAAGACACACCCTGCTTGCCCCCAGTGTGCCCTGGGTTTCCTGGGCCTCGCTGGTCTTGCCGTGGCAGGCGTGACTTTTGCCCACGCCAGAGATCCATGGACGCCCTGGGGTCTCCAAAACGACGCGAAGATCGGGACAACATCGGATCGGGATAACTCGAAATCTCTGAGAGCGGCGCGTTTGGAGGATGTACTGGGCGCCGCGGCCGCTCCAGGGCGTCCGGGAACGCTCTGAGAGCGCACCGGAACGCTCTGCAGCGATTCCTCCCGATCCTGGCCCTGTTTTAGTCTCAGGGCCTGGGTTCCCCGTGGCAGGCTGCTCGTGGCCGGGGCCCCCTGCTGCGGCCCTCGGGGGGGGAGGCGCGTCGACCCCCGACGGCCCCCCCCGCCCAGGACCGCTCGCGGCCTCGCTCTCGGAGGCCCCCTCCGCGGATCCGCGGGCCTCGGCGGCGCACCGCCGATGCCCGCGCGCAGGCCCCCGACCCCCTCTTGGCCAGCCCCCCGCCCCCCCTCCCTCCCTCCCTCCCTCCCTCCCCCCCTCCTCCTCCTCCTCCTCCTCCTCCTCCTCCTCCTCCTCCTCCTCCTCCTCCTCCTCCTCCGCCTCCTCCGCTGCTATTGCACGCTGCAGCTTCGGGGGGCCTCGCCCGTCCCCAACCGTCGTGTCTTCTCTCGTGCGCCCGACGCGGGCTCCATGCGGACTGGTCGCGGAGTTGGCGCGGACTCGGCGCGGATCCGACACGGGTTCGGCCCGGGTCCGACATGGATTCGACACCGGTTCGACGCGCATAGGGCCGAGAGGGGACAGTCATGGGGAAACCAGCAGGTATCGATAGCGCTACTCCCTGAACCTCTTCCGGGGTGTGTGCGTTCTGACCGGAATTTCAAGGCGAATCCAGCGGTGCCGACGAGGGCCTCCCAGGAGGCTCAAAAAGGCGAAAAAGGGCGAAGGGTAGTGATATGGTTTGAGGTGCTAACAGCTTCGACGCCCAGATTTTGCCAGGTAGATGGCCGAAAGACTCGTCCAGGGCGAAGTGGACTTACGCGGCCGTCTGAGGCGTCCGCACCTCGCGAACTGCGTTCGCGAGTGCGACGTCCAATCAGTAGCCGCCCTCAACAGTGTCCTCTGGAGCCAAGGAGGGCGAGATCAGACGCGAAGTGGCAGCCGAGCGCGCGTGCTAGACGTGCAAGGCGCGCGCGCAACATACGGACAAACTCGCCCATGCACTCCAGGGGCCCCGCAGCGCGCCGCTATCTTCACGGCGCCCCGATCCACTTGGAGTGCCCCGGTTGCAGCGAGGAGATGGAACGCTACAGCCCCATGTATAAACACCAGCTCAGGGTGCAGGCTCGCGGGCCCTCGCATACGGCCGCGCTCGCGCGCCGGCCATCAGCCACGAACACCAGCGCGACTCGGAGGACCACATCAGTCCAGCAATCGGCAGGCTCAACTGCCATGCGACGCAGATCCCTGAGCAGCAGACGAGGCTGCCGGGCCACTCGCGCCCAGAGGAGGCTCAGACGCCAGCTAGTCTAGCGCTGGGGCTCAGGGTGGTGGTCATGGTGACTGTACTACTAGGCCACAGATGCTAGCCAGTCCACCAACAGGCACATCGCCCATACGATCAGCACAACGAGCTGCCGACGCAGCTGTCGGCCATCCGACGCCCTCAAGACTCGCTGTGACGTCGCCACGTCAATGCGAACTCTTACTCGGTGACTCGCATGAAACACACGTGCGGGAACTTCGCCAGCTACATTTCGGGAAGTGGCACGCCACCAAGGAGGGGATGGCACCAGCACTACGGGCAATCTACATACCACAATGTATCCTTGACCTCATCCCAACGGTGGTCAACAACTGCTTTGGGAATGCCGTGATGTGCAACCAAATAGCACACCATACCATCCATGCACTCCGCCTTTCGACGCGATCGAACCAACACGTCGAGTGCGACATCTTGTGCTACCAGGACCGCATGACCATGCACCTGATCTTCTCCCCATGGTGGCACAACTGCCAGGAGATTGCGTCCAAGCGCGCTCGACGCTGCTTGCCGCTGTCGGCCGTTCATGCGATCGAGACGTTCGTCGTCGACGGCGAGGGCGGGATGCTTTCACCATACTTCACGGAGGATGTGAAGAGCCGAGGAGTACAAGTGGGCATCGGGCTCTTCTCTGGCGCGCTCGCTTCATAAAGCGACCTGGTCCCATGCTCATAGCGCAGAAGAGCAGCTGGCACATGGCGGTGTCGCGGCGAGTTTCGACGATGCTGGCTCATGCCATCTTTGCCGGCAACAACCTCACCCGCTTAGGAGGCATGATGCCATGCAGGGTTGCCTTCGGAAGGCAGCCGTCCATGCTGCCACCGCTCGAAGCAGAAGGCGAGGCATCCGGCCCTGGTGCCTGTGGTACCGGTGCCGCGCCTTCTGGTAGAGAAGCGCAGCCCAGCCGTCGGCCGTGTCGCATCCAAGAGATCGCCCTGCAAAGCATGCTCGTGGGCGCGTCGATATCGTGCGTCAGCCGCTCCCTCCACACACGCGCCACCGAGTCCAGGAAGGGCCGCTTCAACGTTGGCGACCAGGTGTCGGTCAAGAACCGCCGATCCGATGCAGCATGCAGATTGCAAGACGCCCAGCCCTTCAACGGTGCCGTCTTCGACGTCATGGGCGCCAGCACGGCGCGAGCAGGCCTGGCCTGGGACCGCGCGGGGAACGTTCTGCAGCGCGTCACGCTGGGCCCCGTGGCCAGGGGGCTCGGCCACTGGGAGGGCGCGCTGGCGCGCGGATGAGCGCGCAGTCCCGACAGCGCCCCGACACCCCCGAAGCTCTGCTGGCCAGGCTGCGCCCGCGGTCAGGCTTCCAGGTGGCCCCGTCGGAGCCCAACCGGCGCCGCGCAGATTCACTTCGACGGCGTCAAGTTCGACGCCCATCTACGCATTGGCGAACGCTGGAAGGGAGCTCGCATCATTCAGTTTGTTTTGGTTGACGAGCCGCTGCTGGTAGCAGGCGCCGGAAATTACTTAGACGGAGCGTTCGACGGTCGTCGCATCGCGGACGCCCCCGAGGACGCCGCCAGCATCGCCGAAGGGGGTTTCACCGTCAGCCCCACCGGCTACCCCCGAGGTGACCGACAGAGACTTCTCCAGCCACTTCCAGCCGGTGATGTTGGCAGCCTGGCGCGAAGTCGAGTGGGCAGATGGCCTGGCCCAGCAACTGTAGGAGCTGGAGAGCGCCGATAGCCGGCTGGAGATCCATGCTGTTGTCGGGCACGCCGCGGCCAGCCTTGGCTTCGGGCCCCGCGAGTGGGCCCGGCGCCCCGAGACGTGGCGCCGCTGTCAGAGCATCGCCGCGCAGTGCCGCCATCTTCTGCGCGGGGCCTCCCGGGGCGATTGCGCCGCGTGAGAGGAAAGCGAAGGAGGGCATGCGTCGTTGCGGCATGGTTTTGGGGTGCGCAAGGCATTCTTGGGCGAGTCAGCGTTCGGCGACGGCGCCTCTAGCGCTCTCTGGGCACACGCTCTTAGCGAACAGATGCCTCGCTGAGTGGCTCAGTTCTGTGATTTCCCGTGGGCATCTGCGTCGGCAGATCTTCTAGCGCCCTCCTGCCATCTTGCCGCCCAGCTTACTGTCGGTTTGTCATCTTGCCCGCCGCCAACAAGCGCGACGCCGACCTTCTGTCCGCCGAGGTGGTCAAACGGTGGTCGCAACCGCCGCCCTCGAAGAGCTCGCCGCCTGGGTCAAGTGCAAATTTTTCGAGGGGCGACCGCTCGAAGGCGCTCGAGCTGCAACGGGCTCCAGGCGCGTCTTCAAGTGAAAGCGCCGGAAGGGATCGGGTGGCAAGACTGCCCAGATCGCCCGGCGCCGCGCGGCGCTAGGGGCCCCCGCCACGCGGGCGCCGCCGCTCAGGAGACGTTCGCCGGGGCAGCGGAGCGGGCGGCGCAGCGCCTGCTGTCCGCAGCGACGGCGCGTCGCCCAGGCAGGGCGCGCGTCGCCGTGGACGTCGAGACGGCGTTCCTGAATGGCATGTCTTACGCCGAGATGCAAGAACATCGCGGGGCGCCCCGCCGCGCCGCCCGGCGTTGCAGCCGTCCCTGGGCGGGCGTCCGACTGCGAGTGTTTCGACGAGCGGACCAGTTGTCTGCGCGGCGCCGACGCGGGCGCGGGCCGCAATAATGCGCGCCGAGCCTTCTTCGCAAAGCTCGCCCGGATCCACTGCCAGCGGCGCCGGCGGCTCGAGGCCAGTGCTCGCGTTGGCCTGGCGCGTCGAATGTCTGGAGGTCGCTGGGCACAGCGAGCGCGTCGACCGGCTTGTCGGCCGCGTCGAGAGCGTCGTCGGCAGGCTGCAGAGCGATTGCGCCGACTTCACCAGTTGCTGAGTGCATTGTCGCATGGCGCAGTGGCGCCCGACCTGGACAAGTACGTCGACGCCCCGGCGCCGATTGGGCACGCCAGCCTGGCCAAGGCCAAGGCTGACGAGCTGGCCGGAGGTCAGCTCCCAGACTGCTTTGTCCCCCTCCTTGGAGCAGCGGCCAACGTGCTGCTCGCCCACCCAGCGCCGCGTCGCCGCGTGCATCGTCGCGCTGCGGAGGGCCGAGAACAAGATGCTCATTCGACGCGCGATGCAGTTCAATTCACTTGTTCCGGCCATGTCGACGGTTAAATGAAGCACGCGTCGCGCCCCTGGCCACGGAGTCAGCCGTGCGACTCGGCGCGCGCAGCGACGGGCGACGGGCCATTCACGAGGGGGGGGGGGGGGGGGGGGGGGCGAGGCGTGGCGCAAGAGGGGCCGTGCACATGCGTCTCGGTGCGCCATTTGCTGGGCGCAGTGCGCCGATCGCACATGCCGATGTCCAGAGCTGCTCTCAGCGCGCAGCGCGGCCGGCGGGCTGCGGGCGCACCTCCTCGCGCCGCGCGAGATGGCACGCGGCCCTCGGTTCTGCCGAGGAGATCGGGGGGCTAAGGGAGGAGGGGGATTTCGCGATCCCTGCAGATCACGTCATCGACGGCGCGTTCGTCTTCGCCGCCCTGCTCGTGGACCCGGCGCGGCCGCCTTCCGAGAACGCCGCGGCGGGCCGGCTGCGGCGGTTAGCTGGACAGTTGCTCGCCGCGCGGATCGAGGGACATGCGGGCCGCCCCCATGACCTCGAGTAGCATGGGCCTGGGGCCCATCCTCAGCGTGATGGACGAGCAGAACGGTCATGACCACGTCGCGGTCAAGTTTTGTAGACGAGAACGGAATGAGGCCGCCCCGGGCTCGCATTACAGGCGTCTCACCCAACAGTGAAGCGGCGGCATTTGTGATTGCGTGACAAGGTCGACCTCCGCATCGTCAATTTTGCGGGCAATTGTGGCGAGAGTATTGAGGAAGTCGAGCGCACATGTAAGTGTTACTTGTGCGGGCTCTGTCAGGTTAGCAGGCGCACGCACCTGCTTGTGCTTCACCGGTAATCTCTCTCTTGCAGCATGCAGCTTTTTCAATGAAGAGAGCGATCGGCATGGCTTTCCTCTATCGCCGGCAGTTGTTAGGGGTGCGGGCAGTTGAGCACCCCCACAAGAATTCACGCCGAGGTTTCTTGTTCGGCTTGCGAATGGGAGACCAACCGGGGCACACTGGACCAGCTTGAGCGCCAGACTCGAGTTGTACATGCTTTGCCCATATCACCCCTCCTTGCTTGTCTTTGCCGCTTCCACCTCTGGACTGCAGCCTAGCGCGCCCGCCTTCTAGACACGTTCTCACAGCTCACATCCGCCATACAAACATCCCGTTTTACATCACAACTCTTCTTGCATCTCATGTTCCAGTCGCTGGGCTTGCACGCGTCGGTTCCAGCAGGCCCCCCAATGCCAGCGAGGGCAGGCCTGGGCTTGCCAAGGGACAGAGCAGCTGCTCTTTTTACACACGAGTGAAAAGGCATCGGGTCCGCTACCCTTCTCTCGTCGCAGAAGCTGGATTCGCTTCGGATTCCTGGTATGATGTAGGCGGAGCAGCGGTATCCGTATCGTTTTACTCCCTCACGCCTGCCCTGGCCACGGCAAATTGTGATCAAACCACCACGCGTGCGTCGTATAACTTCATCCGAAAAGCCCCTTGCAGCCGTCGTTCTCGCCTCTGTCCAGGTGCAGTCCGAGACAGACAAGGGCAAGAAAATGCTGAGGTCTGGGCGATTCAGTTTCCTGTGCGAGATGGTCACGCCAGGGGGGCCGAGTTTGTCGAGAGGAGATGAGAGGGAAGTGCGAGTGGGGAGGCCAAGGAGAGGCGAGTGCGAGGAGTGGACAAATATTCAATCCCCACCATGTGGTATCATTGAACGGCGAAGGCTTCGTCCGGTACTTTACATGTTGCCTGTTGTATGTAGGTGATTGTCTTACGTTTGCTCGAGCAGCAAGAGAAAAACACCCCAATATGTGTACCATCCAGGGCCTGTGTGCACCCTTACCGAGATGGCGGGCCTGTGTGCACCCTTATCGACGGATCCACTTAGAATATGTCCCGAACGCCGAAAGTACCAGCCTGAATAATATCTCGTACCCCTATCCCTAAGCTTGGCATCGCCTCATCTTGGTGCCGACCTCAAGGGTTCGCGCAGTTTTCGCGGGGACATCCCCAGTATTACCATCGCTCTGGGTTTGTGAGTCTTCGGGATTGGGATGAGCTCAAGGCTGCTTCTGCAAGCCCAGCTTGGCATGCGTCTGTTTGCTGGCTCTGGAAGACATCGAGGGCCGTCCACACGCACCGCACACCGAGCTGCGTTACAGTTCGGTGGCAGGAAGGGCGGTGGAGGGGGGATATCTCATCCACCCTGTCCGGCGCTTCCGTGGTAGTGCGATCTCCTGCGCAGCATCTGCGCACCGCTGGGGCGGCAGGCGGGCGTTTGAGCTGTCCCCCCCCCGTGGCTCCTCTGGGTCACCCGCAGGGGCGCGAAGGTCATCGCGCTGCGCGCATCGCGGCCTGGGCCAGGGAGGCGCCCTTCTCCAGGGCGGCGGCGCGCGGGTGCGAAGATAGTCGCGCGTCGCGCCTCGCGGGGCGCGGCCCGCGGAACCAGGTGATCCAGGCTCCTTTTTCTCGAAGTGAGCGCTGGACGAGCACGAGCCCGACTTCGCAGCCGCGGCATGTGCGCACAGCGCGCCAGGTCCGACAGGCGCGAGCATTCGGTCCAGCCTCAGTCCGTCCGAGCCCCATGCCCGCGAGTTCCGTGCGGGAGATCGCAGCCCCCCATAGTCTTCCTGGCAACCCCATCGGAGCCTCCCTGGGGTGGGGGCCGTCTATCCTGGCTGGCGGCCGGAGATCCTATCCGTCGGCCGGAGGGAGGGAGATAAGAAGGAAGGGAGTGGACGGAGCGAGAGATCGAGAGAAAGAGAGAGAGAGAGAGAGAGAGACGACGACGACGACGACGATGACGACGACAGCGACGGCGACGGCGACGGCGACGACGACGACGACGAAGACGGCGCTGCTGGGCCTCCTCCTTCCCCTCCTCGCTCTAGCCCCTGCTGCAGCACAGCTGCGGCTGTTGCACGAGATCAAGCAGTGGCGAAGCGTCCCGGCTCGCCTATAGGCCTACCAAAGAATGTTTAGATAACCTCTTGTGGTTTCCACGACATGCTCTTAGAACATATTTGGCTGGGACTGCCTTGTTCTGACACATCGGGCTTATGTTAGAAGAACAACGTTTTTGTTCTTCGAACATTTCTGGGTTCTAAGAACATTTCGTGGTTGGACTATAGTCAGGAGGGAGAAAAACACACACAATGAATCGTCGATTCCCCGGAAAATATGGGAACATATGGGAAGTGGGGGGGGGGGAACGACAAAAACCCAGGAAATATGGGAAAACATATGGGAACTTCTGCTATGTGTGTATTTTAGCTGTGTGTCCCAGGGCCCCTTCATACAGGACTGCCGGGACGGCCGGCCCCTGCTCGAGAGGTGCCGCCCGCCGCGCGAGGGCGAGCGGCAGGGCTTTGTGCTGCCCCGGCGCGGCGGCGCCGGCGCGGGCGTCCGAGGTGGAGCATACCCTCCGGGGGCCCTGCAGCGGGCCCCCGCGGGGGGCCCGCGGCAGGCAGCCCACGGCGCGGCGTCCGAGCGGCGACACCAGGTTTCGTAATACAAGGGAGGGGGGTCTCGTTTCGGGGGGGGGGCTCTTCCAGGCTGTCTTGGGGGGCCTGGGGTGGTCTGGGGACGATGTTTTGGAGGGTTCTCCCACGAGGGGGGGGTCTGACATGGCTTGTCTTGGAGGGTCCAGACTCCCTCCCCTTATTGCGAAATCTGGAGTACACATTGTTCATCCCTAGTTCCTCGAAAGCTCTGTGATTTTTTTTTTGGGGGGGGCAAGATCCTTTCGTTTTTCTAGCTGTGCTCTACCCTGGGCCTCTTCCTGGCCACCAGGGGGCCAGGAACAGTCAGACACGAGCACAATTAGAAATGAGCACGGTTAGAAATGAACGACGTGTACGTAGCAGCAGGGAGCACATCCCTGCACTATGCTTGGCCTCGCCTCGTCTGGGTGGTGCCGGTTCCGAGGCCTCGCCCAGCTTCTGTGGGCACATCCCCGGTATTGCCGTCGCCCTGGGCTCGTGAGTGTTGGGGGCAGGGAGGAGTTCGAGGCCGGCTGCACGGGAGATGGGGTCTGCATCCTTTGGGGACCTCCAAGGGCGGACGTCGTGCAAGCTCAGCGGGCTCGCGCGGCGTACGAGGCCAGGGCCCAGGTGCCACTCAAGGCACGGGCTCGCCGTGGAGCTCTGGCCGAGTCTCAGCGGATCTCCCGACCCTCTGCGGCCACCTGCGATCCCTACCCGTGCAGGTGCAACCGACGCTGGGGTGTCGGAGATCCATGCGGGGGCCCACCTGGCTGCAGGCGCTTGTCAAGTCCTGCCCCCCCCCCCCGCGGGTGTCTCAGGCTGCCTGGTCTGCGCAGGGCCACCGGAACCAGGACAGTGCAAACCAGTCGGGGCTCAAGAGACGGGGGTCAATGCAAACGGGGGTCAGCCAGAGCGCCGGATCTTACAGGATCCTGCAGGGCCAGGGTCGCATTGACCCGGGGTTAGATGCAGGATCCTATAGGATGTTGCAGGATCCTTCGCATTGCATTGACCCGGGTTTGGGTGCAGGATCTTGCATGATTTTGCAGGATTCTGTAAGGCTTGATCGACCTGGGTCTGGATTGACCCGGGTCAGAAGATCCCAAAACCAGGAATCCGAGAGTTCCAGTCCGAGGAGGAGACGATTGGAGAAGGTTTCGACACTCGGCTGCGGTTTTCTTTGGCGCGCTAGCGTCCTGGCTTACCAAAAGGTCCCCGCATGTGGGGCCCCGGCCTGCAGTGGTAGGGGTCACGCGTGATTGCCTGAAGACCCTGGGCGGCTCAAGCTCCCCTGAAACGCCCGTTTCGAAGCGCAACACGCACGGTGTTCAAAACGTCCGTGTTGACAGTCTGCGTGTTGCGAACGCAGCGCGCCAAACTCACGTTTTCGATCGCCGCGTCGAGTTCCGTGTCTCAACACGCTACGGGCTGCGTGCTGCGTATCAGGGCGGCCAGGCTGAGCAGGGAGTCAGGGGGTCGGAGCGCGCGCGCCCGCTGGAGCGCGCGCAAGGCACCCGTGCAAACCTCGCCGGCCGATGTCGGAGGGCACCGACTGTTTAGCCACACCGATCCTGGGCCCAGGGTGATCCTGGCCAGGACCGGTGTGGATGTATACTCTACTCGGTATGGGGTATTTTCAATCAAGCGGGGGGGGGGATTCCCCCCCCGACTGAGCTTGCCCAATCCCGCCCCCTCCGTCCTCCTCCCCCTCCCCGTCCTCCTCCTCTTCCCTCCAGCCCCCCTCCACCCGTGCCGACAGGACGTGCCCAACCCCCGCAGCGGATTGGGCACGTGCTGTCGGCACGGGTGGAGGAGGAGGAGGAGGAGGCGGAGGAGGAAGAGGCGGAGGAGGAGGAGGAGGAGGAGGAGGAGGAGGAGGAGGAGGAGGAGGAGGAGGGGGAGGAG